AGTTAAATTGGCATGGTTCTTATTAAATCCATTAAAAAATGACTCCAGTAAATTGTTAGCTGGTTGTTTATTAAAATTGACTTTTATACAAAATTCATTAATTAATAGTCAATGTCATGCTGAATATAAAATAACAATACCTTTGCCAATATTAAGTTTGAAAGAAGATGATTTATTCATAATGAATGAACAAATATTATTAAATAAAATTTATCAATGTGGTTTTATGACTAATTATAATTATGGCTATGGTCGTAATATTATTTATGATTTTCATGAAATTGAATTATGGTTAAAGCAAAAACTGAATAAATGTAAATTAATCGATACAGAAACAGTAAGACAATTTGATCTATTTCATTATCAATTTGAAACATTTGAATTTATAGAAACAAAAATAATATGTTTAAAAAATATTCCAAAATTATTAAAAAATGAAAATATTTTTAATATTGAATTAAAATATCTAATTGATTTATATGAATTAATGGAAGAAATCGTATTTGATAACGATATGTATGAGACATTTAAAAACACATCAAAATTTTCAACAGATATTAATCAAGATATTATTCTAGAAGAATTTGATCGTGAAATAATTAATAATAATGAGTTAACATATGAACCATTAAAAACTATTCATATTTGGATATCAACATTAAAACGATTATTATTAAGAATATTATCATCAAAACAAGAACAATTATATGATACTGCATTAAAAGAATATTTATGTCGACGAGATTTATGGGATCAAAATATTGATACGAATGAAATTGAAAATTTAAACTTAACGGACACGATAAAAACGAAACATGCATTTATTATTCTAGAAAAATTATTGAATGATCAATCTAAGTTGAATAACAAGAGTAGTAAGAATTTTAGACATTAACAATTTTTACGTATAAAATATTTAATTCTTAATTTTATCTCTAATTATATAACCAATAAAATATATCGGAGAATTACGATCCATATTTAAATGAAAATGTTTTTGAAAAACTTATGTCGAACTAAAAAGAATCTGAGACCCACAATCGATAAGTGCACTTTCAGAGAGATGGAGAATAACAGTTTTCTCACTACCGCTTAAAGGAGAAACTTAGAAATTTAGCGGACGTAATAGAAAAAAGCGTGACAAGACATTCTAGCAGGAAAGTTAGCTTTTGTCAGTCAAAACGAAAGATAAAGTCTCAATCTTTTACTACAGGTAGTTTAGTGAGTTTAAGCTTTATTGAGAATAAGGAAAATACAAACATAGTGCTTCTGGCACAGTGGGCATTTTTCGCTAGAGCAGACGGACTTTAGTTTTATAAGTGAACGAAAATTTCATGAACCATTTTTCTATAGGTTTTTCATGATCCCCTTTCTAATGGCATGAGAGTTGGGTTTTGAAAAAGTTTTCTAAGGAGTTTTCCAGAGATCCGGTCTCCGGAAAACCCTTCAGGAAACTTTCTCAATATTTAAAAACGATGCCATTGGAAAGAGCATTGTTGAAAACCTATAAGAAACATGTTTCGAGTCGTTCAGGTTACTTTATCTTGAAATTCAAATTTTCAGCACGAAATTGTTTGTGTGAATCTCAAAAACTAAGAAATTTCTAGAATTCAAAATCGAGCAACCGAAACTAGATGAGTTATACACCATTCGCTGCAGTTTTTCACGCTGATTCCGAATATGGTATTATATTTGAAGGGAAGTGCATTTAT